ATAAAGGTACTTGCCACACAAACCTGGAGATTTGAGTCCAATTCCCAGAACACACATAAAGGTGGAAGGAAAACTATCTCCATGAAGCTGTTCTCCAGTCTTCATATGCACACTGTGGCCTCCCCAACACACCCAAACACACCACACACAATAACAATAATTTTTCAAAGAATTATTTTTTAAAAAGAGACATTTTAGCCAGGTGGTAGTGGTGTGCACAACTTTATTCCTTGAGTTCAAGGCCAGCCTGATCTACAGAACAAGTTCCAGGATAGCCAGGGTTACAGAGAAATCCTGTCTCAAAAAACCAAAATAAACAAATAAGTTAGAAAGGAAAGAAGGATGGGAGGGAGGGAGAAGAGAAAATGAGAGATTTCATCTAATTAATCTTTTACTTTCTGATCATAGAGTCTAGTCAGAAGGTCTGCGGTCATTTTGCTTTTCATTGAGAACATTTTATTACTAGTTATTTTGTTGTTATTATCTTGCCCCGTATCCCCAAGCTGACTTCAAACTCCCCATCCCCCAGCTCAGCCTCCCTAAAGCGTTTTATTACTCTCTGGTACCAATTTTAGCCCGCCTTCCATTCTATTGCCCTGCCCTCCCTACATCACAATCTCTAGTACCAATTCCAGTCCTTCCTTTGAGTCTGCTTCCAAGAGACAAATTCCTCTTCTGGATGTCACAGCAAGCAAGTTAAGTGCATACGAGCCAAGGCTGACTCCCAGGAAACACGGCACAGCGTTATGTTCTAAAGCCTGCAACGCACGCACACTCAATAACTAACTGTGAACTTGGGCTTCCTATTGTTTGTTACCTGTGCATTCGAGTGGAAGAAGTCACCAATATAACTCGGAGTCCAGCTAATTCACGGCCTTATTCTCTGGGTTCTCAGTGCTGACAGGGGGCGCTGAGAATAGACAGCTGCCACATACACACCATTCCATTTAATCGGTCTTCAGTGACAGAAAATTTCTTTATTTTTAACTTCAACATCCAATTTAACATCAAACGGTATTCTGGAGGCTAAAGAGATGGCTCAGTGGTTTAGAGTACAGTACATTCTGTTCTTTTTTAAAAAAAAAATTTTATAATTTATTCAACTTTATTTTATGTACATTGGTGTGATGGTGTCAGATCCTCTGGAACGGGAGTTACAGACAGTTGTTAGCTGTCATATGAGTGCTGGGAATTGAACCTGGATCCTCTGGAAGAGCAGTTAGTGCTCTTAACCACTGAACCATCTTTCCAGCATTCTGTGCTTATAGAAGACCTGAGTTCAGTTCCCAGCACCTATGCGACCAGGGTAGAGATCAGGGGATAGACAGTTGGGAAGGGTTGGTTCTACAACTGCCTGTAACTCCAGTTCTAGGGGAATTCAACAACCTCTCCTGAACTCTGCTGGCATCTGTGTTCACACATACACAAACCTCTACCCACCACACACACACACACACACACACACACACACACATTTTTAAAATAAATCTTTTTCAAAGTGATGTTTTGAAAAGGGAGCAGGATGAACTTCAATAGGATTATTGTGTAATTCCTTAATGACTAATAGGGGGAAGTGTTTGCCAAGTCCCTGGTACAGCGATATACAAAAACCTTTCCTTACTGTTCTTCTTTATTTTTAGGTTTTGGAGATAGGCTTTGGAATGTAGCCCTGGATAGCCCTGAACTGCAGTCTTCCTGGTTCGCCCTCTCTAGTACTGGGATTACAGGGATGCAATGCCATGTCAGCTCCATTAATTTATTTTAAACTATATCTCATTTGTGGGAGGGGGTAGCTATGAATTCCATAACACGCGTGTTAGATGACAACTTGAAAGACTGATTCTCTCATTTCATCCTGTGGGTCCCAGGGATCAAACTCAGGTCATCAGCCTTGACAGCAAGAGCCTAACCCACTGAGCCATCTCACCGGCCCGCACTGTTTTTCATGGCTCTATTCTGAAAGAAACATGGCTTAAAACAACACTGACAAGACACTATGTTGTGACCTGCTCCGGTGTCAAACCTTGAAATCAGTACACAATGTTTGGGAACGAATCCTGCACCTCTGGATCTTGACACTGTATTAACAATCAGACCCCAATGCTTCTTGGGAGCAAGGCAGCAAATCTTTTATTTACACAGCTGTTTGGCTCCAAGGAAATCTAAGGTAGAAAAGTCAAGCCCCGGTACCATTTTACTGTTATAAACAGAGTCGTCATCTGTTACACACAGGTGGCCTTGGCTCTTCCACCCGCCCCAAAGCAAAGAGGCACAGGCATTAATGAAATAGTAAAGTGGATATACACACAATGAGAGATGATGGATAGATAGGTGATACTTATAATTATCCCCTTTTTTCATATACTACTTAGAATACTTCCAAAATCTCTTCTATGGGTTCACTCTTCAACAGCTGCAGGAAAAACAAAACAAGCTCAGGTTCTTCAGGGCACAAACCACTCCACTGCTGTACAACAGCTCCTAATTTTTTTTTTGTGGGCTTTTTTTGTTTGTTTGTTCAGAGACAGGGTTTCTCTGTAGCTTTGGAGCCTATCCTGGAACTAGCTCTTGTAGACCAGGCTGGCCTCGAACTCACAGAGGTCCACCTGCCTTTGCCTCCCGAGTGCTGGGCCTAAAGGCGTGAGCCACCACTGCCCGGCCACAGCCCCTAATTTTAAATGAGGCCATCCTTCCCAAAGACACCGGAATAGACAAAAAAAAAAAAAAAAAAAAAAAAAAACCCTCTCTACTCCAAGTGTAACTTTCCGCAAAGTTTTAATAAACTTCATTGTTCTGACCCACATACATGTGACTTGTGAGGGCAATGTATATGTAACTTTATCAAAAAGGGTGGGGGCAAAAAAAAAAACCTCACTCCTCCTCAACCTCCCATAGACATAAGAAAAAGTTATAATAAATGTCATCAGACGGGTGAGCAAAAAAGTAGTTAATGCTTCTCAGCAGCCCATGCTTCAAAAAAAAAAAAATCAACTAACTCAGCTAGACACAGGAAGTGTCTCTTTAAAAGACCACAAAAATGCTGTGGATTTCCTTAATTGTAAAGTTGATAAGTATAAAAATAGCTTGCCTTATTCTAGCGTAATTCGAAATGAAACAATCATAAACTTCCAGACAGAGCCCTGGAAATTTTAATTAATTTTCCAATTTTTATCTTAATTTAATTGTACGAGTTCAGTAATTTACCAAAGTTAAGTGAAGGTGAGGCGCAGAAAGTTAGGCTGAAAACAATCCACTGTCTAAGAGGAACGCCTCTTAAAAAGAGAGAGAAAGAGAGAGAGAGAGAGAGAGAGAGAGAGAGAGAGACCTTTGTAAATGACTAATAGTGCCCGACGATCACGTGAATGAATACACATAACATCAAAGAGAAGAGATCTACGTTTTCTACCGTGAACACTTCAGCCCCTTGCTTTCTTACTGCTACTAGTTTCTTGCTTGTTTAATGTGCTCTGATTATGCCTGGCAGTGTGACTCTTCCACGGCTTTAGAAATACAAATCAGAACATTTGGTGCGCTCTTTGACAGTTTCAAGTTGCAGGAATTTTAAACAAACGCCAAAGAAAGCAAGGAAAATTTAATCTGATACTGAAGTGCTTATTCTAGACGTAACTGAAGTGAAGCCTTGAACTCTTTTACTACAGAATTTCTCATCGAAGTTTCTTCAAATGCGAATGAAGATGTTTTAAAAAAAATATTCCATACCTTATTAAATTCTGGTTTAAATAATAATAATAATAAGCTATAGTCTTATAAAGGGACCATAACGTCACCCGGGCACTTAAATTTGGAAAAATAAAAAATTGCCCCTTAAGAATGTTTCTCAATACAATGACCAGAAATGCGTAAATTCACACAAAGGTAAGCAGAGGCTTTGTCATTTGGGTGAGTGGAAAGGAGGCAGACAGAAAATGAGGCTTTGTTTACACTGTCGATGTACAACTAAGGGGGGGGTGTTAAGAAAAAGTGAAGATGAGAAAAAAAGGGGGGTTGAGTTTTTCGTTTGTGGGGGGGGGGTTAATTGGTTGGTTGGGGAGGGCTTGTATTTTTGTCTTTTTTGCCATCTAATCGTACACTTTACTCTCCAGGTTTAATAGGACTCAAGACATCAGGGTGCGACCAGCTCTGTTTAAACCTCCCTACTAATTTAGCGAAGAGTGCCAATCGATAACGACCAGGCTGGAAAGCAACTCAGACTAGTAGTGCAATTAGTTCAACTCGCTGGAAAACTGTCCTATTTAGAATAACTGAGTCCTCCGCGTCCGACTCCAAGCTTCCCGCACCGCGCACAGGCGACGTCGCCAGAGCACGGGAGCAAGCGCCGAGTTGCCGTCGCTTTACCTGGGCTCACGGGGGTGGGTGGGATCCCGGGGGACCCCGCACCCGGGGACCGGGAGAACGACACCGGGGACAGCGGGAGCCCGCAGCAACTTTCCCGGCAGCCCGGCCACTTACCCGCGACCGAAGTCATGACTGCCCCGCGCCGCTCACGCCCTCAGTCCATGGCTCCTGTTCAGTCCACACTTCCCAGAGTTGGAGCAGGAGAGAGAAAACAACCCCGCAGCGCCCACATTCCGTCCCGCACCCCAGATCGAATTGTCTGAGCGCCTCACAAAGGACAGACGCCGGATCCCGCGACCCTCCGGCGTCCCCCGGGCGCCGCACAGCCCAGCGACAGGACGGCGAGCACGAGCGCCGCTCCGCCGCGCGGCCAGGGACGACCGCCGGGCGCGCGCACGAGCGGAGCCGGCCTCGCCGGCGCGCGCCCCTGCACAGCTCCTGAGGAAAATCCGCGCTCCAGGCGCCCCCTGGTCGTCCCGGGGTGTAAAAGGCAGACAAAAGCCGTAGCTCTCTCCAATAGGAGCTCCGCAGCGCCCGCCCGCTCCCGCCTCTCCAGCCTACGCGCTCACCCTCTGCTCCAATCAGCAGAGAGAAAGGGGGCGGGCGCCGCGAAGCATGCCGGGAGTTGTAGTTTCCAGCCCCCCCTCCCCCGAGGTGGGCAGGAGCCGAAGCCTGGGTGCTGCTTGCCCTCCCTTCCTTCATTTCCCATCGTGCTGAGGCGGGTGGTATGGCGGAGAAGGATGACACCGGAGTTTGACGAAGAGGTGGTTTTTGAGGTGAGGAGGAAATGGCTGGGAGTGCGGACCGTCTTTGTCTAAGGAGGACTGAAGGGAAAGCAAGAAGGCAGAGCGATTCCGAGGGGAAGGATCGGGTGACGCGCGCCTGCGGGCCTGGGGCACCAATCCCTCGTTGGTTCTGGGCCTACTGGCTGCAGCCGCCTTGACAGGTGTAGCCCGCGGGATCCTGTCGTGGCTGGTCTCTGCCCCAGGCTCAACCGGAATCCCCAGACCTGGTGCGGTTGACCAGCCCTTGGGGCGGGAGTCCTGCTCTTTCCTTACCCGAGGGCTGCACCGCCCCGATCTGCGCCTCTCTGGGGCGGGGCCGAAACGTGCCGGGTGCTCTCTGTACTACTGAACCTCCTCCCTTTAAGCCTTGATTTTTTTGCGGGTCTGAAACCAGAAGTGCCTCCGGTTATCACCAGCACGATCCTCATCGAGGCGTGGCCTTTGGAATGCAAGCAGCAGGTGCCAGTTCTCTGCTATCTGGGTTGGAGATCCGTTGTGTTTGAGAGACCTGTGGCCACTGGTGAGGGTTCTGGCATCTCAGCACCTAGGTTCCATTCTTTTGTCCTTGCTGTTGCGCTAGGTGTAGCCGGGTCTGAATGGGAGCTCTGGTCTGGATGTGAATGCTTTTGTGTAGGACTATTTTAGGATGTCTCTGCCATCTTGGATTAAAATAAATAAATAAGTCTAGTGCTTTCAATGCCGTTTTCCCATCAGACAGGTCAAAACCCACACCCTAGAATGTAAATGTATGTGCTGAATATGCATGCCGTCCTCGGCCAACTAGATTTTAGGAAATTAAGACAATGGGAGAGTGAGGTCCAGTACAGAGCGTGAAATGTTGACATATGTGCTAATTGTCATTTGGAAGGTTCATTTGGAAACCGTGGTCTGTTCTTAGCACTTAAAAAAAAAAACACCCTATACTCAACAAATCATACCCCAGATAAATCTTCAACTATGAATGAATTAGAAAGATGGATGGGAGAAAATGTACTACAGGAAAAAGATTTTGAGTATGCCAAGGATCGGGGTGGGGTGACAGCATTTATAATGTGCAGTTTTAGGGCCCCGAGTGTGGACGGTTGCCGTGTAAAATGGCAATGTGATTACGATATCTAAGAGGGAAATAGGACTATTTTGCTATAGTGAAGGGTCTATCTATGGGAGTTCGAGAGAACAAAAGCGTACACTCTGGAAATCAGAGACCAAGTCATGAAAAACTGACTTGGACTGTCGTTTCTAATATAAAATTGAGGGGATGGCTGCAGAGTGGATGTGGGGAGGTAAAAGGGAGACAAAAGTAGGTGGCTGAATTATTTTTTACTCTACTTTCTTTGATTTCTGGACATAATTTTTAAAAAAGCAATACATCGTATTGGGCTAAGCATGAGTTCCCTTGGTAGAGCGCTTGCCTTGAACTCACAACAGCACTACTTGAAGCTGATAGGGTGGGGTACACATTCCTGTAATTCCAACACTCAAAGGTGGCTGCAGGAGCTTCACAGAAACTTCAAAGTTAGCAGCTACTCAGTGAGTTAGAGACTAGCCTGGGTTATGAGAGAGCCTGTCTTGAAACAAAACATTTTGTTATAAAAGATAAAGCAAAAAAAAAAGTTCTTTGAAGTCTTTTTTTCTAGTTGAATACATAACTATTTGTGTGATTATTTTTTTAATTTTTTAACATTTAGCATATCACAGAGTTTTGAATATATTTTTACTAAAATTTAAATTTGTCATTAATCTTGCCCCCCCCAAACACATACACACTTTTTTTGTGGGGGCGGGAGAGGGAAAGGGTCTTATAATTCAAGCTGATCTTGAACTTCCCACTCTCTCATCTCAGCCTCCTAAGTGCCTGGGATTATAGGTGCGTCCCATGTGCCCCACAACGATAACATTATATTGCTGAGATTTATGTTTATAGATCTATCGGCAATTTAAAAGTGTATTCATTTATTTCTGATTTTAGTGCCAGGGATTGAACCGAGTGCCTGTCCACGCTTAATAAACATGCTGCACTCTCAGCCTAGCTTCTTAAAAGTTGGTGTACATGAATTCTTCTTTGGTTTTGTTTTCCCAGCAGCGCGTTCCTTTTACGTTTTAATATTTTATGTGCATGGGTATTTTGCCCACCTGTATGTCTCTGCACCAAATGTATTCTTGGTGCTCCTGGAGACCAGAATAGGGTGTGAGATCCCCTACAAGAGTTACAGACAGATGTGAGCCGCCATGTGGGTGCGGGGAATTGATCCCAGGTCTTCTAGAAGAACAGTCGGTGCTCTTAACCGCTGATCAATCTCTCCACCCCTTCGTGGATTCTTTATCTATTCCTTCGCCACTATCCTATTTGAAGACTTACTTTGCCAGATTTCTGCTTAACTTTTTTGATAGTCTTCATACACACAAGATAATATACATAAGGAATGTCCGCGTACTGAGAGTGTACAAATGACGGGTGTTGAAATAATATGCTCGTTGTCATACACACAAGATAGTATACATAAGGAATATCCATGTACTGAGAGTGTATAAGTTGATGAACGCTCAAATAAAAAGTGGAGCATCAGGACACCAGTGCCTCCTTTCTGCTGTTTTTGAGTCCCTAGTTCTCACCCCACAATGACAGCTCTTCACAACTGTAATAACCTCCGTCAGTTTCGTCTGCTCTTTTGGATTGCTATGAAGTTTCATTTACATTCTGTTTATGTGTCTTTTTTTTTCTCCCTCCGGCTTTGTGAGATTCATTTATATGATTGCCTAGGGATTTTATTGTGACACAATATTTCATGTGACTATGGCTCTTTTAGGGCATACTGAAGTAGTGCCTACTTTGAAATTACTGTAGTGTTCTTAAGAAACTTCCAGTGTGTGTTTTTGTTAAGCGTGTTTCTGTTGGGTATATACTTAGAAGTGGAAATGCTGGATTATAGGAAACACATATATCTTACATAGATATTGTGTAATATAAATACATATATGGCTTACATAGATATTGTCACACATCATTCCATAGCAGTTATCCAAACTCCTGTCAGCAGTGTGTAAGAGGTCTCGTCACAGTACGTCCTTACCAGCGCTCTTTTGGTCTTCGTATCAGTCTGGTAGATGTGTAGTAGTGTCTCTGTGTGGTTTGCACTTCTGTATCTCTGATATGGAACTTAAGATGCTTAATGCTAGTTTAATGGCCAGTGTGAGTTTCCCATTGGTTCTCGCTTACTAGTAATGAAACTATATACATATATATAGACTACAAGTCCTTAATTGTATATCTACCCCACACCCCTTAGGCTGTATGTGACTTCTACCCATTTTATGAAATAAAATTTTATCCCATTTCTGTGTTGGTATATGTGCACACATGGAGGTCAGAAGACAGGAGCTGATTCTCTGCTTCAGAACAGACTCAGGCCCTCAGACTTGGCAGCAAGTACCTTTGCCCACTGAGCCATCTCATTGGCAGTCTCTGCATTCTTAATAGTTTCTCTCAAAGAACAGAATCGCCTAAATTCATTAAGATCCACTTAATAGGTTTTTTTTTCTTTTATGGTTAATGCCCCAAAAAAATCCCTGCCTACCCTAAAAATCACAAATATGTTTTCTCTAAAAGCTTTATCTGACCCTTTGCAATTGATCTACCATTATTTTTCCATACAGTTATTTGGTTGGCCTGGTAAAATCCCTTCCTGCCTTAAAATGTGTTGTCTTTATTATAAATCAAAGGGCCATTTTATTTTATTGAGACAGACCTTATCATGTAGTAGCCCTAGCTGGCCTGGCACTCACTATGTAGACCAGTCCGGGTCAGACCCCCAGAGATGGTGTCTTTGCATCCGTAAATGCAGGTGAATGCAGGTGAATCCACATCCGGCATCTCTCCACTCTTTTCAAATTTTATTCAACAACTTGTGATCCCCCTGCATCAGCCTCCGAGGTGGATTGCAGTCATGTGCTATACACCGCTGGGCAAGCTTTTGCTTTTTTCCCCTTGTGCCATGAGATTCTTCTTTTATGCCTCTGGCCGTTCTTGACTCACTGTTCCATATGACTTTGAAAATGATGAGCCTGTGGATTTCAGTTCTTAGCAAACCCAGTGAGATTTTGTTTGAGATTACGTTAAATCTGTAGATTGTTTTTGGGAAATGTGACATTTTTATAATATTGAGTCTTCTAATCCAAAACACGTAATTGCCTACCTTTTGTTTTTGTTGCTTCATATTGAACCAAGAACTTTGTACATGTTAAGCATATTCTCTGCCATCCAGCTGTGCCCTCAGCTTCTTTAAAAGAGTAAGGAAGCCTCCTATCTCTTTCTGTGTTCTAATACTGATTTTAAAAATGGAGAATTATCTCTTCCTTGAAACTAGAGCAAAATTAGCCTGTAAAGATAGCCATTTCCTCAGAAGGAGAGTGGATGTAATCTGTCAGTCTGATTCTAGTTATAATTTTATATTTTAATTTTTTTTCTTTGAGAGATAATCTAAAAGAAAGGTGGATTCTGCAGCAGGAATTCCTATTTCAGCTACGTACTAGCTGATGTGACTTTGAGCAAATTACTACCAAAGCTTTAAGTTTCTCCATGGGGCATGGAAATAGTGAAATCGACTGCAAAGAGCCGTGGTGAATCGTAAATGGCCAACTCCAGTTGCTTAGGCCAGGGCCTTCTACATTATAAGCATCCAGGAGGTATTATTGAAATCTTCTAGCAAACTCTCCTATATTTTGATCAATACTTTTCTTCCCCTTCGTTATTTTGAGGCAGGGTTTCCATTTGTAGCCCAGGTTGGTCTTGAACTGGTGGTATTCATCCTGCCAAGACTGCAAGTGTGCACAACCACACCCAGCTACCTGTTTTGAGAGAGGGTCTCTCTGTGAAGCCCTGGCTGGCTTGGAAGTTGCTAAGTTGCCCAGGCTGGCTTCAAACACACAGAGTCTGTCTCTGCCTCCCTCCTAAGTGCTACAGTTAAAGACCGACACCACCATAACCAGCCAGC